TAAAATGGGTAATTTCCGTATATAGAGAACCTGCAACAAGTATAGAGTATCTAGGTTAACACTTTCAATGTGCCAACACCAAATTAATTATTCGATAATGACTCATTTTTTGTAATGTTGTCCATTATTGGTTACCAGTTCAGAAAAGCGCCGAACAATTACGGATGATGTTTCACTATAAAGTAGATTTTAGCAAAATGGCATCTATTCATTCCCCGAAACAATATTTCTTCGAAATTCTGGTCCAAAAAATCAAAGTATTTTTGTCATAAACAAGTACTGCACTGCTTGTTGTGAAATGATTGAATTGTTATGAAAACAAAGAGACGTGCTTCATAAATACGGTTAAACCAGGAAAGTTGGACTCCTGGAATGAAGTGTGGACTGTCGTTTAAAAGTATTTTTTATAAAAACCAGGAATCATGAAGAGCTAACAAGGAACCTAATGATTACTAAAAATGTTTGCGAAAGTTGTCCAACTTCAACCGCTTAATATATCTCAAACGTGCTTTTCTTGACCTTCGGTCAAAAATGTCCTAGTTTACCAACAGGAAATTCCAACGTTTCCGCGGGACAAAAACTCCTTATTATCCAAGAAAGGATTTGAAATGCTTTGCACTTTGTTTCCCTTCTCACAGACATCGGAATGGGAGCATTTTTCTCTGGCCACGCAGTCGTCACTCTTGAGAACGCGGCCAGTTTTCGTAATTTCCTAAAAGTACTTTTCGTGACCCTTGGTCCAGAAATAAACGAGAAAAAAACCCAGCTCTTCGGCAGAAAATCCCAACGTTTCTCTGAGGCAAAAAAAAATCTCGTTATCCAAGAAATAATTTGAAAATTTTCGCACTTCGTTTCCCTTTTCACAGACATCGGAGTGGGAGCATTTTCCTCCGGCCACGCAGTCGTCTTGAGATCGCGGCCAGTCGTCGTAATTTCGGGCTCGTTGACTCCGTCTACCCACCGCATCAGCATCAATGACACTGACAAAAGCATCGGGATCGAGGCCTGTGTCACGTTCTCCGGCAAAGACGCCCCAAATGACATCGGTAAGGTGCACAAAAAAAAA